AATTGAGATTGAAAAGAAACATAAGCAATCACAACTTTACGTTTCACAATTAATGTAAAATTATTTTTGATATTTAAAATTTACCGATCATATATTTATCATGGTCGCAACAACATTTTCAACAAATTTTAAATCGCTTAAAACTAATATTTGTAACATAAAATACTGAATCAAACGTAAAAAAAATATAGAGCTTAGTAGAGTCGAGACGTCAAGTCATTTGGCTTGTAAACAGTAACAAAAACTAATCAAAAGTAAAACAGAAAGAAAAAAAAATAAAAAATAAAAACCAAAAAGGGTTTAACCTAGCCGAGCCGAGCCATAAAGTCTATGTAGGATACTGAATCAAACGTAGGCGGGCTTAGCCGAGCCATAAATCCATTTGGCTCAGTTCGACTTATGAACAGTAACCTAGAAACTCACTCTTTTACATATGTAGAATAGGATATGATAGGATGTCGGATAAGGCAATAGCACTCATTCAATGGTGCATAATTCTTCACGTGCCCATCATCCAGATTAGGCACATATAATATCAAAGCTGCATTCAATGTAAACACAACTTGAATTCGCCGAGCCATAAATCCATTTGGCTCGGCTCTAATTGGCTTATGAACAGTAATTTGGAAACTCACTTTTTTATGTACGTAGGATAGGATAGAATAGGAGGTAGGATAAGGCAATAGCACTCATCCAATGGTGCATAATTCTTCACGTGTCAATCATCCAGATTAAGCGCATATAATATCAAAGCTGCATTCAGTATAAACACGACTTTTAACTCTTCTGGAAACATCAACTAAATGGATCGATAATTGATTGTGTTTTGGGCTTAGAAGTGGTTGTCTTACTGGATCACATTAATGGGATTTCAAAGTGTAGCAACCCAAACTCCATAGAATCGATTAAAGAATCAGATTAATAAATTGTTAGATCAACTAACTGATCAACTTTGAATCAAAAACTAAGTGTGTTATATTGGAAATTTTTTCATTAAAAATGACATTTTTCATCCGAATTCCTACTTTTGAAGTGTTTGATTGCCATTCTTTTCGTGAAAAATATTTTCCAATCTTAGAAAATATGTCCAATTTAATTTTTTTGAGGAAAACACTTTATTCGGAGGAAATATGTTTTTGTTTTCCTTAAAACAAGGAAAAAAATTCTTTTGTAAGAGACATTTTTCATGCCCATCGAACACACTTCAAGAGAAAAAGGCATAAATATAACCATAAATTAAAAAGTTAAAATGGTTCATAATTTAAAAATTCCATATTCAGTTATATCATTAAATATCAAATTTTGTTTCTTTCCAAAATTAAACATCGAATATCTATTTAAGTTTTCATATTTTCTCAATATTTTTGCAGTTGTATATATAATATCAAGATGTTGTTCACTTCTTTCTTCATCATACTTTGTTCATTATTGTTATGAGTTTTTTTCCAAGTCATCTCCCACATCATCGCCATGTCAAGGGACGAACTGAATACGACCACCACATGATAGATGAATTGGATTCATCCTTCACGTGGCGAACGAACTGATTTCGCCCTCCGCCACATATCGGACGAACTGATTTTTACCTTCGCCACGTGGGACAAACTAATTTCGTCTCGTCACTTGGTGGACTGATTTCATCTGCCACCCCGACGGATACAAAAGCCCACACTCCGCATCACTTCATCGCAACCGTAACTAAATCCGAAGTGAAGACATCTAAAATGAGATTATCACTCTTGCCACAACCGATCCACTTG